AGAGAGGTGGGGTGGGGGAGGGAGAGGTAGAGAGCAGCCGTGAAACGAGGTGCGGAGATAGTGAATTTTTCCGTTTATTACATTGGTGTGTCACCCCGGTCAAAAGGATCATGTATCCGAGTTCTAGCGCCTTACAGCAATATGCCGAAGACCCAGGAAGTTGTCTCACTAATAATTAAGGCAATCCCCAATGTCCGGATCGGATGCGGGAACAACTTTACTCTTTTTATCCGAGTTCTACGTTAAACGATTGGTTTAAAAACCCCCAACAAAGTAACACAAATAAGTGCTTATTGCTGTTAGGTATCTGACCACAGAGTCTGATGGTTCAGACTGCTCTTTTTTTTCTTAGTGCTGTCAGAACTTCTAAATATAATTCGGTTCCTGAGCATTTAGGTTCATGAAATTTGTAGTCAGCTCTATTAGCATCATGATTATTGTATCAAGATTAAAAAAAAAAAATAAAAAAATCCGAGAGCTATTTGATAGAACGACATAGGGCATACCTCGAGTCTCAATGGTTAGTCTATAAAATAGCCGGAATCACTTTAGGGGGGCGAACCAAAAGTGAAACACAGCTGGCTCCTCCTGAAAAGTTATATATTTAAGGCATAATGTAATTGTCGGCTCTCTCCTTACTCCATGTGAAAAGTCAAGTTGTCTCAGATATTGTCTCTAAAAAGGCAGCGATCATATATGGTATGGTCACTTAATCGGATGCACTAATATGATCGAAAGAGGGAAAATGAGGTGCTCAAGGGATAAAAAGCGCATTGAGAAACCTTACCTTTGTATGTTTTTGCACATGTGCATGATATTGTTGATGAGTCATCGTGTGGAATTGTCTATGTTGCGCTTTCAACTGCACGCACGCCCTGGGGCACAACTATAGCAATTGCACATACGAATGTATTTGCGTGCAAGTATAATGGCGAGACAGACGGACGGACGGACGGACGGACAGACAGACAGACAGACAGACAGACAGACAGACAGACAGACAGGCAGGCAGGCAGGCAGCAGGCAGGCAGGCAGGCAGACAGACAGACAGACAGACAGACAGACAGACAGAATAAAAGGATGGACTGATGGACAGGCATACAGGGAGAGAGCGATAGAGGGAGAGGCAGGGGGAGCATGCAGTATATTGTTTATTGGATTTAAAAAAAAAGGATTTCGCTGACATAGAGTCACAAGATGACTAGATCTTTGCAAATGAACTGTGTCTGTGTTAATCATTACTTCTTATTATTGCCTCCGACCAATTTTGTTTTGTGAACGAAAACTACTACTATAAAGCTCACATAATTGTTATGTGTGTGTCACTGGTATTGCCTTATTTGCATCTTTATTTCGTAGACTGCTGCGCTGGATTCGTCCATTTCGTGTCATATTACGACGAAGGGATGTATGAGCGAAAGCCACGTAAAATCAATAAAGTCATTACAAATCAAAATCTCTCTCGGAAGCATACGACCCTCATACAATAATCACAAAAGCATAGTTGCTTCAAGCCCATAAGCCTCTACCCTTCCGCTAAACAGACTTTCCCCAACCCCTCCCCCCAACCCCCACTTCCCTCCAAAAAAGGCAACCAAACCTGCCTCCTCAAAGAGATGTGAATGCAGACCAAAGACGTCATCGCTGAACTTCGGAAATGCTTACCTACGGTTTCAGGATACTCATTCATTGTACGCTCTAAATCCTCGGATAATATATTGACAGAGAGCATTATTAAGTACCGTTCCAGCAGATTGTTATGACAGGGGGGGGGG